CTAAATAAAAGATCGAAAAAGGTAGACTCCATTGACACCGATTTAAAAAGTGCTGATAACGTGAAAATACGAAGTGAAAATGATTTGTTATTGTGTTCTTATGAATTAAAAATATTACAGGATCCTATGGAAATAAAGGTGATGCAAAATATCCAGTTTTGAGGTGAATGTAGAAAATCAAAAACAGAATGGAAAAATAAAAATAAAATAGTGTAAAATGATATGTAAGTATGTATGTAAGCATAACACTACATTTTCCCCCCGACCCTGGAAAATTTTTGACTCAGCAAAAATTTTGATATGTACATTCTAAAACAAACCATAAAAACACAGCTTTGCAGTAACAGACATCACCAGGCAATATCAGATATACTATCTCTTACATTCATCATCTGCATTCAGGTAAGGGTGGAGTTCACATTCAATGACTACCACTCTAAAAGTGTGTTTTCGAAAGGACATTCAGGCTTATTTAAGGAGTAGTCATCCGCTCCTGCGTGGAAAAAAAAACATTTTAAAGGACATCCAGGCTTATTTAAGGAGTTGTCATCCGCTCCTGAGTGAAGATAAAGTTAAAGAAATTAATCTTAAGCAAGCTTTAGTCGCTATGACTTAAGTAAAGATTAAGAACGGCCAGAGCGGTAGGGCTCAAAGCCAGAGATCAGCAACATCACTAACGAGATGTGTCTGAAATAGATATTTATACATATATACAAACTTATATACAAATATACAAACATATATACAAATGTAGTGTCATGCAAAACAGTATTAGCTGGTTCCTCACATCTAATCTTCACTTCGTATTCGAGTTCGGCCTTGTTAAGGAATTCGTACTTAATAACCCTTTTCATTGTTATAATTAAGTGCAAAGTTAAGTTTAAGAAATAAAATTTTAATTAAAAAATTGTACCTCTAAGTTATCTAGAATAAGAATATTAAAGTGATGAATGTAAGTGAAGTGTTATATGTAGGTCTAAATATAATCTAGATAAGTTGAAAAACTAGATGAAGTTTTGTTTTAGAATTTGGAAGATAGTACCTCTTTAAGTTCTCTAGAATAAAAATATTAAGGTGATGAATGTAAGTGTTATATGTAGGTCTAAATATAATCCAGATAAGTTGAAAAACTAGATGAAGTTTTGTTTTAGAATTTGGAAGATAGTACCTCTTTAAGTTCTCTAGAATAAAAATATTAAGGTGATGAATGTAAGTGTTATATGTAGGTCTAAATATAATCCAGATAAGTTGAAAAACTAGATGAAGTTTTGTTTTAGAATTTGGAAGATAGTACCTCTTTAAGTTCTCTAGAATAAAAATATTAAGGTGATGAATGTAAGTGTTATATGTAGGTCTAAATATAATCCAGATAAGTTGAAAAACTAGATGAAGTTTTGTTTTAGAATTTGGAAGATATGATAAGGATGAGTAAATAAAGAGTTAAGAACGAAAGAGAAAGCAATTCAATCAAAAGGAAATGGATAAGGCGTAGCTAAGGTGAAGAAAAGAAGAACTTTTACGTCGGGCGCCAAATTGTCGTAAAGCGACAATTAAAAAACTAAATAACCTAACCTAACTACAACAAAACAACCAAAAAATAAAATAAATTATTTAAAAATTTGAAAAGATTTACAGTTTCTTTTATAAAAAAAAGGTATGAAGGTGATGATGGGCTGTAATGATGATAGTGATTTACAATATTATTAAAAAAAAATAACAAAAATAAAGATACTGCAACGAAGTATGCACAGGCTATGCCTATGATAGGTGCACAGCGCCTGCTCTAGGTACACGCAGAATCTGGAGAAAGCACATGCAGCGTCTGGAGAAGGTACACGCAGCGCTTGGAGTAGGCACACGCAACGCCCGGAGCAGATACACGCAGCACCCGGAGTAGACACGCAGCGTCTGGAGTAGGTACACGTGGCGCTTGAAGTAGGCAAACACAACGTCCGGAGTAGACACACACAGCGTCCGGAGTAGACACGCAGCGTCTGGAGTAGGAACACGCAGCGCTTGAGACAAACACGCTCAGCGGCCGAAGATAGCGCGGGCACTAATAGGTGGAGGCGTAGGCGTGGCTAGGCGACGACTTCAGGAGAAGGCTTGCAAGATCCCGAGGCAGTGCGGATAAAGCCTTTAAGAGGTGCTTCTCGTATCAAAGCTGAAGTGAGCTCCTCTATCGGCCGATTCTTTGGCTTTTATACCTTTTGACGGATCTGGGATAAGAACGAGAAATTATTTGAAATTATTTAAATTAAAAGCAAATTTTTGTAAATGGCCAAGAAGAAAAGAGTATTTTTGAAGTAAAAACATCAGGCCGGTAACAATATTTGAATAAAAATTGCCACGACAACCAGATAAACAACGATGTCAAAACATGTCAAATTTTGGTTTTAAGCTCGTAATACAGAAACGGCAAGATTTAAGTGAAAAATGAGATATTATTTATATAGGAAAAAAGGTAGCGCAAGAGCGCGCACGAAACCCGAAATTGTAGAGTTACGGAGAACTAAATAAAAGATCGAAAAAGGTAGACTCCATTGACACCGATTTAAAAAGTGCTGATAACGTGAAAATACGAAGTGAAAATGATTTGTTATTGTGTTCTTATGAATTAAAAATATTACAGGATCCTATGGAAATAAAGGTGATGCAAAATATCCAGTTTTGAGGTGAATGTAGAAAATCAAAAACAGAATGGAAAAAATAAAAATAAAATAGTGTAAAATGATATGTAAGTATGTATGTAAGCATAACACTACAAGGTTCGCGCACTGCCACGAGCGTCCTCTTGCCTCGCGCTGCTAGTCTGAACCGCAACCCTAGGGCAGTCGCGCCCCAGAAGAAACCGCCTCACATAGTGTGAGAATTAGTCGCGCGGTGCGCGCCTTGCTTCGCACCGCTAGCCTGGATCGCATCTCTAGGGCGCCCCAGAAGAAACCACCTCACGTCGCGCCAGCTCCTATTTTCAACGCACCACCGCAACAGAAGCGTCGTCCGCAGCATCAGAATCACACCCCGGTAAGTGTGTTTCCCGTAATTTTGCTACTTGCACCTTTTGTTTATTAGCTAACCTGCCCCATTTTTTGTTTCTCCTTATTGGCTCAAGTAGAACTCCCTCCTAACCTTGACAAAGCAATAGATTTGGAAGAGCGAGTGCATTGTCCAAAGTTGTCGCGTGTCACGTCCGCCATCTTGTTGAGGTATAAGAAGCCAACCGCATATACAGTCCACTTAGTAGTATAACATAACATCTCGCACAATAGGGTCCAAGGCTCGACCTGGGAATCGAAGTCGGGAACCCCTAGGCCCGCCGCTCTACCATCGATATATCGATATCTTGTTAAATATTGATATATATCGTCGATATTTTTCAATCGCGATATATAGATATTCAATATTTATCTTGGAGTATCGAATTCGTATTAATTTAGATATATTTTAAAATGTTGTATTAATCGACAAAACAATAGACAACAAAAGCTTCTTTTGTTGCCTATTATTTTGTCGATGAAAAACTTCATGTGCAGTTGTCGTTTTGTTTTCCGTCATCCAACTGTCTAGTAATACCATTTCGAGTTTTATCCTACTACATTATGCAAAACATGACTGTATATCGATATTAATCACGCGAATATATCGAAACTGCTTAAAAATATCGAAACGATATATATCGATATAATTTTTCACTTGCCCATGCATACTCGTCGCTATTGCCACATGAGTAGATAAACGAAATATTGCTAGCAGCTAGCCGGACACACGAGGAACCTAGCGCGCTAATCGCCCGCCCGCGTCCGCTTTACCCCCTAAAAATCTACGTGACCACCCATTTCGTCGTAATATAGCCGAACAAGAATTTCCAGTCCATATGTTTCAAGATAATCTATGCGTGGCCAGGTTTTGATTTGATGTACTTTATAGTTTGGGATGAAAGTACAATGGCTCACAGAAAATCACTTGAAGCATTAAATAGAACATTACGAGATATCCAGAAAAATAAAAAATTTAAGGGGGGAATTTTACCATTATTATCCGGAGATTTTCGACAAACGCTACCAGTTATTCAAAAATCGCATGTTCGAAGCGATTAACGTTCTGGGATCGTATTGACAAATTATCATTAACAGGAAATAAGCGAACAAAGATTACTGGAGATTCGGAAGCACAAGATTGTTGAAAATCTGTTAAAAATTTTCAAAGACACCTATCCTATATTATATATCCTATATAGATTCACAGTTAGGCAAACTTATTTTGTCAAAAGAATTGTGTAACGTAGTAGAAACACAAGAATTATTGAAAATGTTTATGCATCTATTGAACAGAATTATTCAATACTCGTAGACGAATAAACTTTTTCAATATTATAATTATAATAGAATATATTACATAGGACATGGTTGTGTGAGCGAGCAATTTTAGCTACAAAATACAAAAATGATGTAGTGCATCAAATTAATGAAAGGATACAGAATACGACACAAGATGAAAAACTGTATAAATCAATAGACACAATGATGAATCAAGATGAAAGTGTGAACTTCCCAACAAAATTTTTAAATTCACCGAATTCGCTTGGTATGCCTTTAAATGTATTGAAGTTAAAAATTGGATCACCAGTCATATTATTACGAAATTTCAATTCGCCAAAATTATGTAACGCTACAATATATATGTATAAAACAACTTCTCAACAACATTATTGAGGCAGTAATTCTAACTAGCAAAAAAAAAGGAAAATCCGTTTTTACACAGGGTGGGCCATAAGGGTGTCGGCGGTTTCAATATTCAATTAAAAAAAGAACTACGAAACTTAACAAAAATATATTTGTATTTCTAACACCTTCACCGCCAAGCCCAATCTCTTAAAATTTCATTTTTTTTAATAATGTTTTTTTTTTGCTTACATATTCATTTTTTATATTTTTTACTGTTATATTTTATCCAGCTGTCACCCCTTTCATTTTTCAGGATTTCAGGAATGTGTATCAAAAATGATACACTGGCCTAAGAAAGACATTTCTCTATTAACCAATCTCGTCGGCCATGTGTATCATTTTGGATACACGGTATGTTTTAGTTTATTTGATTATTTTATATTTGTTTCAGATCAAACACGAAGAAATCACAAAGAAGGAGCTTTAGAAAAACAAAGACTGTTGTGTTTTTCTATAACTCCTTTTTTGTTTTGTTATAGGATATTCTATAAAACGTAAACGTGAGTGAGAAAAGTGAATCAAAATGGACTACGAAAGTGACGACTCTTTGTATGATCTGGATTATTATCCAAGTGACAGTAATGCGACAGCCAGTTCGGAGAGTGACAGTGTTAACGAAAGTTGGAATCCACCTTTATCTTTTAGGCGAGCATCGACCTTCACTGAGAGTGACCTGCCCCCCTTTACCTGAAATTCAGAGGAGGATTTCTGCAAGAAGAATAGGTAATACAGATTTGGACGCTTTTAATATGCCAAGTACATCATCTGCTGCAATTAGTATGTCAAGTACATCTGCAACTACTCTTACTACTGGTAATAATGAGCCAAGTCTCTCTGGTACAACATCCGAGTGGCTAAAACAAAAACTCGACTCAATAGAGTGGCACATGCCTACTCAAGAAGGTCCAACGCCCATGAAATATACGGGGCCTATTTCAGGCTTCAAAGAAATATACTCAGGCATTCTTGCTAATGCTTCGCCAATAGACTATTTCGATTTGTTTATGAGTAACGACATTATTCAGCATATTGTAGACCAAACGAATTTATACGCCACGCAGCAACTACTGTCAAATGATATTCCTTCAGGTTCTAGGCAACATGCCTGGGTTCCTGTTACCTTGGATGAAAAAATTTCTCGCACTCATTGGTTGGATGGGATTGGTGAAGCTGCCATCGATAAAAGACTACTGGCGCGTTCATAAGCTCTACAATATTCCATTAGCACGAACTGTAATGCCTATGAACAGATTCGAGTTGATTCTCAAATTTATTCACTTCTCAGATAATATATTAGCTGACCCAAGTGACCGACTTTACAAGTTGAGAGATATACTTGACAAGTTTATAAATAACTACAAGAAAACATACACACCGGGAGAAAAAATATGTGTCGACGAATCGCTGATACCTTGGCGCGTACGCGGCTTTTGTTTAGGCAATATATACCCAATAAGAGTGCAAAATACGGTATCAAAGTATTCAAGCTATGTACCGAAAAAGGATATACTTGGAACTTGTCTGTTTACTGTGGCAAATCTAGAGACCCGCAAACTGAAGTCTCAGAAAAAAACAGTTATGTCTTTGGCAGAAGAGCTCTTAGATGAAGGAAGAACATTGTACACAGACAATTATTATACCAGTGTTCCTCTCGCCTTACGTTTGCGTAATAGAAAAACCCATCTAGTAGGAACTCTAAGGGCTAATAGAAAATATTTACCAAAGGAAGTGGTACAGGCCAAATTGAAGAGAGGAGAAATGGCTGCAAAGCAGAGCAATGAAGGCATAGTTGTTTTGAACTGGCGTGATAAACGCGACGTACGGATGCTTACCATGAAAACGTCTGCTCTTGAAGTGGTGCCAAATAATAGCAGAAATACGAATGCAATGCACACTAAACCCAAATGTATAGCTGACTACAATAAAGGTAAATCTTCTATAGATATTAGTGACCAAATGGCCACGTATGGTACAGCCTTACGACGCTGCACCAAATGGTACCGCAAATTAGCATTTGAAATAATTTGGGGAACGAGTGTAGTAAATGCCCATTTCCTGTACAACGAATATTCACTTCAAAAGAAACTCACAACAATCACGGAATTTCGTGAACAAGTGATCGATGCATTGCTGGAGAGAATTTCTTCAACGAATATTGACAGACCTTCACAATCGAGACCAGACGACAAACATTATTTGGTCCAAAACATTGTAAACGATAAGAAAGTTCGAGGTCGTTGTTTGGAGTGCTATAAAATTTATGGGAGGACAGGAATACAAATTGCAGGAAAAAATAAAAAAGCACACCAAATATACACAAAATGTTCAGTGTGTAATTTTTTTATGTCGTCAATGTTTCAACAAAACTCATTAGCAATTAATCTTATTTTGTGTCTTTCTTTGTAGTTGTTTTATATATAATATAATTATGTAGAAACTAATTCATGAATTTTTTTTTCACCTTCAATTTTCCAGTACCAATATTTTTGGCATATGTCTCATAACCCAATCCCAAATATAGCAAACCAATCGTCCAGGCCAAAGGATATTATGTCTAGTACAAAATCTATGAAAAGCGTGTTCATTATTGTTACACAACGCTTTGAACGCAATAGGTCGTGTGTATCATTTTTATAACACTATGTTTTAACAAGCGTGTGCAAAAATGATACACTGGCGTTGAGGGTGTTAAAAAGTAGAAATATAGGAATTTTTAAGATCTAAAAATAATGTTGTTCAAATGACTTCCCTCGGCTGCTTGACACTCTTGGAACCTTATTTGCAAATTTGGGAAAACTCGTCGAAAAATTGTTCTCGGTATTTTGTTACATTCCTGAATAATATTCCTCTTCAGCTGCTCTTAATCGGTCGGATTATTCTCGTAGACCACCGATTTGAGGTAGCCCCATAGAAAATAATCGCATGGAGAGAGATCGGGGCTACGTGGTGGCCATTCAATATTTCCCCTTTTCGAAATGAGTTTTCCAGGAAAAACATTTTTCAGCAGCTCTATGGATACTCTAGCCATATGACATGTGGCTCCATCCTGTTGATACCACATTCTCGAGGTATTGCCTTGAAGTTCTTGCAAAGCTGGCACCAAAACGTCTGTTATCATATTGCAATAATTGTTAGCTCTAACCGTCATCGCTTGCCCTCTTTCGTTCTCAAAAAGTATGGCCCAATAATACCGGTTGACGTTATCCCAGCCCACACGACAAGCTTAACGCTGTGAAGTGAACGTACATGCAAGCGTCGGGGATTAGTCTCGGACCAGAACCGACAATTTTCCTTATTCACATGGCCATTAAGGTGAAAATTGGCCTCATTACTAAACATCAAGTTATTAAAATTTTTGAACCGCTTGAGCATAAAATTGACAAAGTTAAGTTGGTTATTGGCATCATCTGGTTTTAATTCTTGGACCATCTGAATCTTATAAGCCTTCAAATGCAAATCACGCCTCAAAATTCGTCGCAAAGTCGTTCTTTTGATGTCCAAATACTGACTTCTCTTACGTGTTGACTGTTGCGGATTTCGCTGAACTGAAACACGAACACGCTCCACAATGTCGGCTGATCTTGCAGAAACTGGGCGACCACGAGCCGTAATTGGTACTGTCGAGCCGGTTGTTTCGAACATTCTGATATTATTTATTTTTATGTGTCCTATCAAATCACTTCTACATGTACTAGTAATTACTATATTTACAGATGTTACACGAAAAAAGTTTTTCACCGGTATGTATTTTAGGGTCAGCGGTGTATAAGGTTTTTGCAAATCACTTTTAGTAATAGATTTATATTCACAGGTATTACACGAAAAAGGTTTTTCACCGGTGTGTATCTTCATATGTGTTTGCAAATGACTTTTTTGTAATACATCTATATTCACAGATATTACACGAAAATGGTTTTTCACCTGTGTGTATTTTTATATGTCTTTGCAAACACTTTTAGTAACAGATTTATATTCACAGGTGTTACACGAAAAAGGTTTTACACCGGTGTGTGTTCTCATATGTGTTTGCATGTAACTTTTTGCATTACATCTAAATTCACAGATAAAACACGAAAAAGGTTTTTCACCGGTGTGTATTTTCATATGTTTTTGCAGATTACCTTTTGCCTTACATCTAAATTCGCAGATATTACAAGAAAAAGGTTTTTCATCGGTGTGTTTTCTCATATGTGCTTGCAAATTACTTTTTATATTACACCTAAATTCACAGATATTACACGAAAAAGGTTTTTCACCGGTGTGTATTTTCATATGCCTTTGCAAATATCCTTTAACTGTACATTTATAATCACAATTATAACAACAGTACATTTTCTTAGCGACATGCGCTTTAAAATGTGTTAAAATGTAACGTTTTCGAGATGTTTTAAATTCGCAAATATCACAGTTATATATATCCATTAGTTGTGGTACTGGAGTTTGTTCAACTTGTGTCTTAACTGCATCTGAGTTCTTTTGCGTCTTATGAGTGTATGATATGTGATCGGCGAGAAAATCTTTTATTAAAAACTTTGTTGATGCCTCAGATGTGTTTTCCGTAAGTATATTTACACTCCGTTTCAAAATTTTCTTTTTCATATTTTTTGAAGGATGCTTCCCTTTTTTGATAACTGATCGAGTGTCTCTTTTCAGTTTAGGCTTTGATTTAATAGTTGGGCTTTCTAAATCGTGGTTTCCTTTACGAACATCATTTATGTTACAATCAGTAGAATTTGATTTAATCTTTTTCTTACACGGTTTTGAAAAAATATTTGTTTGTATGCAGGGTTGTTCTGAAATACAAATGAATCAAACATTTTATTTATTGTAAGACATTGTATCTTTATTTTAAGATACCTTAGACGTTTTACAGCGGGCGGAATTTACGCCTTATCAGTGAAATATAGAGACATTATAATATTTTACATGACACTCATTTAACGTTGCAAGATATAAAGTATTTTCGCCAATTACTCTGCACAATGTCTCATATATTCATTTTGGAGGGAAAGAATGGTAAAGAATCTAAATTCGAATAATAATTATGACGTTCTTCTGACCGTGTTATAATTACATTAATCTAATAATCGCTGGTTCGAATTCCACACGAAAAGAGTGTTATACATACATACATTTTGACCAGTATTTTTCGTAGATATTAAGGATGTAGTCTAGGTAGTAGTATTAGAATAATCTATTCTTATAATCGCTGTTTCGAATTTCACACATAACTAGTGTTACACACATAGTACAGTCGAAGTTGGCGTATAAGTGCGGCATAAGAGAATTTATTATCAGATTTTATCCCGTGGGTTTCGTAAGAGGCTACTATAGATTTAGTTTTCCGACAGATGGCGGTATAACCACCTCGTTTACTTCAGATGTGAAATATCCAGACCGGCGACAGTCAACATTGCCAGAGGTGCTCACGTCTAGTTCTGCGATCGTCAATCCTATGCCAAGCGTGACGACTGAGGCAAATCCTCTCTACATCGGGAGAGATCTTTCCATGTGCAGCAGTGGAAGTTTACAGGACGATTAAGATAGAGGAATTATTTGTAGGCCATACAAAGACTCAAAACAAGCCCTGGTAGCTCAGAGGCCAGTAGTTTATCGTAAAATTTCACAGTACGATAGCAACCCAGGTTCGTTCTCCACAAGCACCCATAAAATTGTTAATTTTCTATGTGTATGTGTATAAAGTCGGGTGATAGGTTAAGTCATAATAGTTAACAGAAAAATAAGAAAAAAATCTTTGCTATGTATTTTAAAAATTACAGGCATTTATCTTTTTCACGCCGTGACCGCCGACAGTAACATTTTCGTTCACTCCTAGTTTTTAAATAAATGTGTCTAGTGTTTAAACTTACTCAAAATTAATATCAATAGATGCATTGTTTCATTGGTGTTTGAGTGGTTAAATCATTCAGTGTTTTCATGTTAAATTGTCATAGAAATACTCCAAAAACTGTGAGAAGCACCGTAGTCATTTTTAAAAGTTGCAGTCAGTTGTTTATTTTGCAGTGGGTATGCAATAAATTATGTCACTTACATTATCCAACGAACATTTATCTCCGAAAAGTACATCGCTTATTCAAAGAGTATATCAGCGAATAATTGGCGCTGTGGCTTACGCATTAACGCAACAAGAAATTAGCTGAAAGAGCTGAGCTCTTTTTTAACTTTATTTTCAAAAATTTCTTAGTTTGAGATTAATAAAACAATTAATATGAATTGCTCTGCCTGCAACAAGACGCTGCTTCGCACTGACCGCTGCTTAGAATGTAATCACTGTCATTCAAAATATCATATTGAGTGCCTAAATTTAAAAAAAGAACAATTTACGGCTTTAAGACGACACGTTGATAAAATGCACCTCCTTTCATTGAATAGTATGGGTCTATGACACGACTAACGAAACTGAAATTTTGATATAGGTAAATTCATGTCTTTATCTTGAATTTGCTTGCTCAAAAACACGATTGTATAATTTTGACTCGATCATAATTATTTGCGAAAACACCTCTAAAAATCACTATAGTTGAAATTACAACAAAATTACTTAATGTATATGCTTGGGAATCACTCAATGTATTCGTAACGTCAATATTTATAATTTAGTTACACATTATTATGATTACTTAATTCATTAATTTTTTCAAAATATTTTAAGATTCTGACAATTTCTATGCGTGTTAATCGTCGCGGACGCTACGCAATTTTAGACCTTACGACGGCGTTTTAAAGTTTTATAGAAATTATATACTCACGCGAGCCAGTCCGGCGAGAGGCCGCCACAACGTAGGACCTACGCAAGTCGCTCGCTTCTACTCTCTATTCTTATAGCCTTGTAAGGCCCAAGAAAATTTTTGCTTAGTTTAGATTACGCCCCAAAAGTCCTTTAAAAGGGATCAAATTTTATTGATGTTCAGACCCAAACAAAATGACGCTATGTTTTCTTTTGTTGCATATTTTATTTTAAATATAGTTTATTAGTGTCTTTATAACTTACCCAAGGACACATTTGTAAAGTATAGACCTCATATCTTTGGTTCTTTGTAAAGGACTTTGGGTTAATATAGATAAGTAGGTACCAAAAATTGACACTATCTGTAAGACTTTGGGTTGTAATAATATAAATAAAAACACAATTTTTATGAAGAAAATCAACATTTATTACAGATTTACATAATTATGCTCCTCACAAGAAAAAGCATTTGCAAAAGTCGCATATTGTGCCATCAGGACTTGCCAAAACAAATGCTTTCAGTTCAGTAGGATTAGGCTTTCCTGGACAATATTGATTAATGCCACAATTTCCAGAGAAAGGAATTATCATTTCATCAATACCTATCTGGGTATTATGTTTTTCGTGCCGTGGAATATCATCATCAAAAACAAGCTTT